TGACAGCTCAGAGCCTGGAGACTGCTTTGGATTCTGTGTCTCTCCCGCTCTCTGCTTCTCCCTAACTCGTGCTCTGTCTCTCAAAAATAAATAAACATTAAAAAAAATTTTAAATAAGGGTGGTAGGGGAAAGCTATGTACTAATTCAGAAAGAGCTCTAAAATATAGTACGTGAAAAAATACAACAGCTTTAAAAAATAAAATAAATAATAAATGTTTGTTTATTTTTGAGAGAGAGAGAGAGAGAGAGAACGTAAGCAGGGAAGCAGGAGAGGGGCAGAGAGAGAGAGGATCTGAAGTGGGCTCTGTGCCAACAGGGCTCGAACCCATTAACTGCAAGATCATGACCCGAGCTGAAGGCGGACGCTCAAACCAATTGAGTTCAACCAATGAACTCATGACACCACGATCAAGAGTCACATGCTCCTCAGACTGAGCCAGCCAGGTGCCCCTACACTATGGTTTTAAGTGGAAACTGGAAGGTGTGTGATGTACACAGTGACCTTTATTATGTAACTCCTGCCTACTCCTCCAAATAACTCCCAAGGACCATGAGTAATGTTTTCCTGTTTGTTCATCCTTGGTTTTTACACTTCCCAAGTTTTCTTTTCTTAAAGCATGAATTCTTTTGAATTTAAAAACGGTTTCTTTCAAAGAGCCAAAACAGCAAGAAAAACGTTAAGTCTAGTTGTTAGCTCCTGGACAGGGTTGCTCTGCAGCCTCTGGCACAAAATTGAGCCTCCCGACATTAGCTTCTTACCACATATTCATCTTCATAGCCTTCATCGTCGGTCTCCCCAGTGGTGGGGTCACAATCCTTGACAGTGAACTTCATCATGCAGCTGAATGTGCAGGCCACTGCAAGGAAGAAAGGCTGGATGGTCAGGATGACCCCAACCACAGCGGGGGAGGAGTTCCTCCATAGGGCAGGTGGCCTCACCCTGCTCCCCAGGCCTCTATTACATTATCAGTAGCGGCAACCCCACAGATAGCCATCTGACTCCACAAATCTGGACAGAAGGTACCTTGGGAAAGGGCAAAACAGTCAAGTCATGGGTCTGGGAGTCCCCTCATAGGAAAGGAAGAAAGAGGAAAGCAGGGGTGCTGCAGGATGGCTAAGCCCATGCCACAGTCACGTGTCCATTGTCCACGGCCTGGAAAAAGAAGCTGGTGGGTTCCTTGGAAGGAGTGGAGCTGGGATGTTTCTGTGCTTGTTCATGGTAAAATGAAAGAGTACAGGCTGAGGACCAGATAGGCCCAGGTTCTGCCTCTTACCAGCCCCGTGAACTTAGGGGAGTCATTTAACCTGAGTCTCAGTTTCCTTAGAATTTCCTAGTCCTAGGAGTAAGAGCAGTACTCATCCCCATAGGTCTTCTATGAGGGTGAAATGGGATGACATAGGACAAGTTCCCAGGACTCAGCCTTTCTTCTTTAACCTTTCTCAAGGTTAAAATCAAGGAGTTGAGGCTCTCATAGGAGACAAATGGTTGGTGCACAACTGGCCCACCCCATCTGGATCCCAAGGCCTCCCAGAAGACCAGGGTGGGGTCAGGAGAAGGGCTCACCAGCTGTGGGGTCTTCCTTGGGCAGTGCCACCAGCGTGTAGCAGGTCCCAGGCTGGTTGTAGGGTAGGCTTCGGGCAGGCACGTAACAGAGCACTTCATAAGCTTCAGTGGGCTCCATCTGGACTGTGACATTCTCCAGAGTCTGGTCATTGAGTGTGTTTGTGCAGTCAAACTGGACCAGGGAGGAGAGGGATTGCTTAGACACTGCTCTAGGTCAAAGCCCTGCTGCAAAGGAAGAGCCCAGAGGTCCTAACTCACCCCATGGGCCAAACTGACTCCTATCCCGGGTGCCCCCGCACAGGGTCCCTGACCCCACGTTGACACACAGGAGCCAGAGAGGTCCTGGGTCAAGGCTGCAAGACACATACCAGCCGGTGACAAAACCCAGCATCAAGTTGGGCTCCCGACCTATAAGACCCGTCACACTTGGGACCACTCCCTGGGCCCAAGCCTCAGCAGGGCCTCAGCCCTCCCCACTCACCTGGAACACCATGTGGTCAGTGAAGGTGTGTTTGGTACAGCGGATGACATACTCTGTCTCTGACTCAGTGAGGGCCACAGGCTCAGGCGAGGACTTGAAGAGGAGCCCCAGCCCGTGGAACTCTGGCACTGCCGCCAACTGTTCTGAAAGCCACAGGCCACACGTTTACTCAGCCTTTCAATTCTCAGACCAACCTGTGATGGTTTCTAATAAATGCTCATGGCCAATTCTCCAGGGCTTTTACCCTACTGAGATGGATAGATATGTATATACGATGACAGGTTACTCGCTATATCCCAAATATACCGATCATTTTCTCCTCTCGCTAACTTTCCTCAAGCTGTACCACGCCCCATGAATACTCTCTTCCCCTCTGTCTCACAAAAGACCTCAGCCGCAGAACACTGACTGGGAGATCCCCAATGGCCTAGGCCTAATCCATCTGGAGACTCCCACAACTTTAGAAGCTCAGCAAGGATTCTTAGAAAGTAGAGATTAGGAAGATTCTAAGGATGAGATGAATGCTGTTATCGCCCCAGAATCAGGCAAAAGAACGAACTGATCCTACACATTTGTCAGTTAAGACAAAAGGCCAGTACTAGGAGATGTTTCAGATTCAGACTTGCCAAAAACCCCACTTCAGGTGGTATGTGAGTACCTGGGAAGGCCCATCTGTACACCTCAAAGCCAGGTTCCAGCAGTGGGCTGGATCCAGTAGCCCACAGGCCGCCAACGTGGCCCGTCCAGGTGAAGGAGACATCTGATAGCTGCCTGCACACAATGTCTACCTATGACGGCCTGCGGCTACTGCTCTCTTTCCTATTCTATGGCAGGGGCGGTGTTCCTCAATGGATCACTAGTGTCAGAATTACCTGGGGGTCGGGGCTTATTAAAAACTCAGATTCCGGGCCCATCCTAAATACAGTCTATCAGAATCTTTGGGTTTGGGACTCAGGAATCTGCATTTTTTTTTTTTTTTTTTTTTTTTTTTTAGGAATCTACATTCTTAAGAAATTTTGCCAGCTGATTCTGATGTAAGCTGATATCTGAAGACCACTGCTCTAACATTTTTAACTTGTCTTCTCAAATCAATTGAACTCTATAAGGACAGAAAATGTGCCCTGAGACCAGGGATCTGGTATTTTGCCCTGAACTTAGAAGGTACTTCATTCATGTTTCATGGATAGAGACAGAAAGTAGGCATTATTATTATTATTATTTGGCTTTCTCCCCCCACAAAGAGTCAGGCTCTGTGACTGCTTCAGCCCTCTGCCGCCTGAAGGATTATATTTGATGAATGTGCAGGCAGTGAAAAGCCCAGAAAGAGCCAGCTTAGAAATCAGGAGGCACTTTTGGGCCATTGTGATCATCAGCCACCAGAGTGCTTTTCTGTGGGCATTGATTTCACTGGGATATCAAGTTTCTAGACCTGACACTTAACTACCCCGGGGGATTCTGCTAGAAGCTATCAGTTAATGCCTCTGAGTTTCCAACTCTTCACCGATAAAATCGATACAATAATCTTGCTCACAGGATTGTTGTGAAGATAAATGAGGCAAAAAATGTCACGATCTAGCAAACCTTCTAGAACCGAAAAGGTGATCAATAAACGTTAGGTTTCGGAAGACTGCTTAAAGATGAAATTGATACCCTCTAAGAGGCTTAAAAAGAGTCTTCCTTTGAAGCTGGGGCAGAATGGTAGCCTCAAGATACGCACAAGCTAATTCCCAGAACTTTTACCCACATGGTAAAAGGGACTTCGCAGATATGATTAAATTGGATCTTGAGACTGGGAGAGTATCCTGGATTATCCGAATGGGCCCAGTGTCCTTATAAGAAGGAGGCAGAAGGCTCAGAGTCAGATTTGAAGAGGCCATGCTGCTAGCTGTGAAGGCGGAGGAAGGGGTCACCAGGAGAGGAAAGGAGTCCTCCAGAAACTTGAAAAAGCAGAGACCTAATTCTCCCCTGGAGCCTAGAGAGGAAGCTCAGCGCTGCCAATACAATGAAACCCATTTTGGACTTCTACCCTCAGAATTGTAAGATAACTGTGCTGCGCTAAGGCAATAACTTTGTGGTGATTTGCAAGAACAGCAAAGGGGAAGTAATACAGAAGGGAAAGTTTTGGGTGAGGGTGATCCCAGTTACCTCAGGATTCAGATTTTGCTCAATCTGAAAGATGTGTTGATAGAAGACAGGATTCTCAAATGGAATGGGGGCGGGGGAGGATTTAATTAATTAACTAATTTTTATAGTTTATTCTCATGAACCATGAGATCATGACCTGAGCCGAAATCAAGAATCTGATGCTTAACCAACTGAGTCATCCAGGTGCCCCAGCAGGGGTGGTGGTGGAGGATTTAATTTAATTCAACAATCATTGGGAGCTCACTGTGAGAAGGAAGGCACTGTGCTAAGTACTACGATGGAGAATATAAAGGACAGAACCTACAAAGAACCACACAGAACTACTTGAGGGAAGGCGGAAGACTGGGAGTAGAAGTGATGAGCACAGGAGATTCTTCATGAAGGAAGAGGGACACATGTCAGTCCTTCATGGTGGGATTCAGTAGATAATATGGTCTGTCGCTTAGACACACAGCCTCTGCCCTTAAAAAGATGCTAGACCAGAGGGACACCCAAACAAAACCTTACCAAACAATGTGGACTGAAGGCCTCTGGAACCCAAGAAAAAGTCTTAGCGTCTTTGGACCCCAACTGTGCTGAATCTGACATCAGGTACCAGCTTGGACTCCAGGGACCTGAGCCCTCAGAACCAAGGCCAAGGGGCAGCTTTGAGCCAGTTTGATGTGGATCTTAATTCCAGCCCCTGCACTTTCTTGCAGTGCAGCCTTAGGCATATCACTTTCTCTCTCTGAACTTCCAATTCCTCCAATACCAAATGGACCCGATAACTGCCACCTGAGGGTCAAATGTGTTGACTAAAGTACTCTCAGGACCCAGAACTCAAGGGTAAGAACTGTCGTTGATTAGGTCTCTCCTAATTCCCCTGAGGAAAGCAATGACACCCCCCACCCCCAAAGCTGAGGAGACCAAGCCCAGTCCTGAGCGCCCCACCAAGCACCGCTACTCACCCTGGAAGATGTCTTCTCGAGTGGCTGCCACTTTCTCCGCCTGCTTGGCAGCTGTGATGGGGGTGCTTTCTGCAGGAGCAAACACACATGGTGACCAACAACTCCAGTAATGGGGAAGTGTGGGGCTGACCACAGAGCTGTTCCTTAGGGATTATAACTTCCAACCCCCTGAGAGAGTGTGAGTACATGAGAGAGCAAGTGTTTGTGTGCATGTGTCTCCAATCCTGGAGTCAGCCATAGAAAGGATTAGAAAGGACTGTTCCATCCTCTTGGTACAAGCCCCCCAATCCTGGCTAGGTTTAGTGGCTTCACGGCCCATGCAGACCCTCCAACAGAGGCCTGGACCTGAAAGCCTCTAAAAGGAGCACAGACATTACTTACCTGTTCTCTGCTCTGCCATGGGCGTGGTGGCCAGGGGCACAGACTTGAGGTCAAAAGGTTTTTCCGATGGTTCTAGAGTGTACTGCTGCAGAGCTCTCTCCAGACCAGGGATGGAAACGGTCAGACCTAGAAGCCAGTGGGAGCGAGGCACTGCCTGAAGGCATGACAGAATGAGCAGCCGGAATCCCCCATGGAAGCCTGTGGCCCTGGGGTCTAAGTTGTATGACTGTAGACCACTGAGAAAACCACTTAACACTTTCTGGGCTTCCACTTTCTCATCTGGATCCTCCTTCACAGGGCTGGTATGGTGATAAATGTATACAAGAGTGACTTACATAAAGGACTATGGGAAGAGAGGTTTTTTTCAATGACTAGTGTTTCAGTTCACTGAGCTACTGCCACCCACACTGGTGTGAACTGCAAGATTCGCAGTCTCCTGAGGTCACAGTGATGCCATGAAAGTCCAGCCCAAAGCGTCTTGCCTCAGACTTCCCTACCCAGAGAGGGTGTGCCTGCTCTGGAGTGGGGAGGAGGGCCACAGCTCTGGGAGGGGGCCTAGTCGAAGATAGCCAGGGAGACTCACCATTTAGGATATAGCCTGCGTTGAGGGCCTTCTGCTTCTGCTCCAGGACATTGAGATAGAAAGTGGCTCGGTCCCTTACTTCATTGTCATCGTCCATCACGCACCTGCAGCCAGAAAACATAGTAAGCTGTTTTTTGTTTTGTTTTTTTTTAAATGTTCGTTCATTTTTGGGAGAGAGAGAGGGAGGGAGAGAGCGAGTGCCCACAAGTGGGGGAAGAGCAGAGAGAGATGGGGGACAGAGGATTCCAAGCAGGCTCTGTGCTTTCATCACAGAGCCTGACACAGAGCCTGATGTGGGGCTTGAACCCACGAACTGCAAGATCATGATCTGAGCCAAATCCGGATGCTTAACTGGCTGAGCCACCCAGGCGCCTTGGGAACCCACGGTAGTCTTGACTGTGGCCCCACAGGGGTGGCAGGGGGACACTGCAGGGTTTCATCAGACGGTAGTAAGGGGAAGCAAGTCCCCAGATGAACATGCCTGTGGGATCCAGGCATCAAACACACGGAGGGGCCTATAAAATTCTAGCTCATTACCTAAGAGGTGGCCATATTCATATTCCCCGGGCCCACTCCCTAAAGCCCACCCAGTAAAGGAGGCAATCTCCTACATCCAGCAGCATATGTCAAAGAAGAATTTAATATGACCCAATAATTCAACTCCCAGGCATCTCCTCTTGAGAACTGACAACATACATCACACAAAAACTTGTACGTGAATGTTCATAACAGCATTATTCATGAGAGCCGAAAAGTGGAAACCAACCCAAGTCTGTCAATTGGTGAATAGATAAAATGTGGTGTGCTCATGCAATGAATTATTTGGCCATAAGAAGGAATGAAGTACTGATATATGTTGCAGCATTGATGAATCTTGAAAAAAACATCACAGAGAAGCCAAACACAGGAAAGGTCGCAGATTGTACGACAGCATTTCTAAGAAACGACCATAATGGGCAAATGCATAGGGACATAAAGTAGATTAGTGGTTGCCTAGGGCTGGGGGGGGGGGGGGGGGGGGGGGGGGGGGGGGGGGGAGTAGGTGTTGGGGAGAGGGCAGTGACTACTAATCAATATAGGGTTTTTCTTTAGTATTTAAAAAAAAGAAGTTTTTAACGTTATTTTTAAGACAGAGATAGAGACAAAGACAGAGCACGAACAGGGGAAGGGGGCAGAGAGAGAGGGAGACAGAATCCGAAGCAGGCTCCAGGCTCCGAGCTGTCAGCACAGAGCCCGATGTGGGGCTTGAACTCACCAGCCAGCCGCGAGATCAGGACCCGAGAGGAAGTCGGACGCTTAACCGACTGAGCCACCCAGGTGCCCCTCTTTCTTTCTTTTTTTTTAACCCCCCCCCCCCCCCCCCCCCCGCCGTTAACCAGCAAAACAGGCAAGCAGGCACAGCTGAAAACAGCCTCACCAAACTCCATACACTGCAAAAAACCACAGGGACCAAGGATTCTTAATGCTGGAAACTAACACCCACATTGAAAATACTGTCCTAGCCTAATAGACATTTACTCTGCCCTGTAAACACCATGGATATCAGGTTTCTATTGGCAATGATAGAAATGTTTTAAACTTAGATTATGGTGATGGTCACAACTCTGTGAATATATTAAGAAACATGTTAGGGGCGCCTGGGTAGCTCAGTTGGGCGACCAACTTGGACTCAGGTC